AATACCATTATGACAAGACAAAGATACAACATTTTGAGGATAAATAATGCAAAATAACACTGTGAAAAACAACCACAGCAGATTTTCATTAAACCTTCAGAAAACATTTAAACTTTAAAAAAAATTTGGACACAGGCTCAGCCCCTCCTTACAAAATGGTTTGTTCGCATTCTTTTCTCTTCACCTTTCATACAAAACGTGAAAGGCGGTGATGTCTCCTCATTTCAGGCAAGCAACTACTTGATACAAAAGGGGAAATTATAAAAAAAGACAAATTCTAGCTCAACTGATGCAGTTGCCCATAGCAACCAATCAACTTCCATCTCTCTTTTTTTTTTTTTACACAGCTTGGAAAATAAAAATAAAATTAAACAAAAGCTGATTGGCTGTACTCCACTTGAGAGAGAGTTGAGACAAAGTGCGTTTCAGTCACTTTTTATTATTTCCCCCAGAATGACCCAACTATTACTTAAAGGAGAACTATGGGGTTAAGGCTTTTCCCCATAGTTCTCCTTAAGGTAACGGGAGGACACAAACTAGCGTCCTCCCGTCACCCTAGACTCAGTAGCTGTAGCTCGCGGTATACTGAGACGCCTCAGTATAAGCGATAGAACTATGAGGTGAGTGAAAAGCACTCACCTCATAGTTCTCCTTTAATACAAAGTGTAGCCATCATCCATAAAACCTGGAAGAGTTATTAACCCTTTCCAACTAAACTAAAAGAAAAAATGTCTTGCTTGTATTACACTGACGCTTGATTCACACCAAATGTGTTGGGGCTGCACTGGCCAATGCGGTTGTTTGCTCTGAAAAAAGATCTGCGATGTGGTACAACTGCATTGCACCGTGCAGTACCCATAGAACTTACAAGAGAACTAAAGCTAAACCTTTTTTTGGCTTTAGTTCTCTTTTAGGTCAGAGGAATACATTTACTATTGCCCCCTATTTGCTGACAGCGCAGAGCCGCTCTGCAGACGGGAAGGATCCATCCCGCTGCCTGATTGACAGCTGACTCTCTAGAGACAGAGCCAGCTGTGCCCACCCCCTCCCCTGTCTGTCTTTCTAATGAACGCTGGAGGCACAGAGAGGGGAGGGGCTGTCAGTCACCACTCTCTGCATGGAGAAGACTGAGCTGAATGATCAGCGGTCCATAATCACTCAGTTCGATGTATAGAGCCGGTGTTCTATCAGTCCTCTGGCCCCCGTGAGATTTCTGGACTTCCGGGTGTGTGTGAAGGGAGTCCAGAAATCTCACATGCTGCTGCACATGTTCGGGTCCATACATTTTGTAGACCCATTGTTATAAAACAAAACCGCAGGTCCAGACATTTTACAGTAGCATATTACGATAATTAAAAAAAAAGCATATACAAACATAAATATATAGAGAGTTAAATAAAATAATTTATTGTGAGATTTCTGGACTCCCTTCACGCATCCCTGGAAGTCCAGGAATCTCACGGGTCTGGAGAAGTGATAGAACACTGTCATGTGACACCTGCAGTGCCACACACTGGCTCAAACTTTTGAGAAGAGTATATTTTACCCTCCCTCTTCTCATTTAATGAAATGTAAATCCTAACATTTCCATGAAGTTCTAAAAAGAATAAACCAAGGTAAAGGGCGTGATGCGCTGGGTTCAGCTCATCAGCACTAAACTTCTAAAGTGTACCAGTGGCTGAGCGTTGAAGTGCAGCCATTGGTGTGAGTTCAGCCTTAAACTTACAGCTCAGCTTAAATGACATTTAAACGTGCACGTACCCTTTAAAGTAAACATAAGCCATAACTAAATGACATTTAGTTTTCTAAAGAAGTAAATAAAATACTTGTTTTCACTTTTTTTCACCCTTTGTTGCATCTGTGTTGCTGATCTCTTGCAGCCTCTTTGCAGCAACTCATCATCTACATACACTTACTCCGGCTTTGGCTGCATGATTTTAGCACTATAGGTCTGGCTCAGTAGGAGTGTGTTGGACCTCTTCAGAGAGACTACTGCTTTCATGCAAAGACCAAGGGTTCTTCTCTACAGCTTGCTGGTAGGGGACAGGCTTTTCTACTCAGGCTGTGGCTGCTTTCTAAATAGAATGATCTGTAAGACTTTGTACACATTTTGCTCCTGCTATGTATTTGGCTGATTTAAACTGAAAGTCCAAATGGACTTTAAAGTTACTTTTAAAAGTTCATTAACATGTTAAAGCTTATATAAGATTTCGGTGACTGGCTTTACCTATACTTTAACCCCTTCATGACGGGAGACGTACACTGTACATCCCGCCATGAAGTGCCTATACGACTGGCCATGTACACTGTAAGTGACAAGTTATTTAAGGCTCTGTAATGCCAGTCATTAAAGGAGGATTATGAGGCAAGTGATTTTTACTCAGCCACTCAGCCTCATAATCTGAGCCGACCTATGACAATGAAACTGTCACAGGTCGGCTCAGTAGAGCTGGAAGTGAGCGAACACATACTGTCCCTCGCTCACTTCTCGATCTATCCGTGCAGAGAGCCCTGATTGTAACGCACGGCTCCCTGCAGGGATTCCACCCCCCTCCCCTGTCCGATCCTCCAGCGCTGACTGGCGGAACGGACGGGGAGGGGGCGGGTACAGCTGGCTCTGCCTCTAGATAGGCAGAGCCAGCTGTCACTCATGCAGCTGGGTGGATCCAGACAGCATTGTCGGGATCCATTCCGGCTGCAGCGTCTCAGTATACCGCGAGCTGTAGCTTGCGGTATACTGAGCTTTGGGTGACGGGAGGACACTAGTTTGTGTCCTCCCGTTACCCTTAGGAGAACTATGGGGAAAAGCCCTAACCCCGTAGTTCTCCTTTAATGAATGCCTCAGTATTGAGCCATTCATGAATGAAATAGTTAAACTTTTGTAAAAGCTTCTTTCTTTCATTAAAGGAGAACTATGGGGAAAAACACTGACCCCATAGTTCTCCTAAGGGTAACGGGAGGACGCTAGTTTGTGTCCTCCCGTTACCCTAAGCTCAGTATACCGCGAGCTGTAGCTCGCGGTATACTGAGCTTAGGGTAACGGGAGGACGCTAGTTTGTGTCCTCCCGTTACCCTAAGCTCAGTATACCGCGAGCTGTAGCTCGCGGTATACTGAGCTTAGGGTAACGGGAGGACGCTAGTTTGTGTCCTCCCGTTACCCTAAGCTCAGTATACCGCGAGCTGTAGCTCGCGGTATACTGAGCTTAGGGTAACGGGAGGACGCTAGTTTGTGTCCTCCCGTTACCCTAAGCTCAGTATACCGCGAGCTGTAGCTCGCGGTATACTGAGCTTAGGGTAACGGGAGGACGCTAGTTTGTGTCCTCCCGTTACCCTTAGGAGAACTATGGGGAAAAACACTGACCCCATAGTTCTCCTTTAATGAAAGAAGGAAGCCGTTACATACAAATACGGGAGTGCTAAATAGCAATCTTATTGAAAATAGCAGAGAGGTAGCAGAGTGACTCACCTCTCTGTTATTCGTTTTGACAGCTTGATAGCCTGATGTTTATGATACATTTCAGGCACAATGTTACAATGTATCTCTTTGCTTGAAATGTATCACTTCTGATTGTCTGGGCAGGATCAAAGACCTTTAGGCCCCGTGCACATTGAGCGATTTATCGCACGGTAATTCCCGCGATATCGCGGCTATTTACCACGCGATATCGCTCTTCAATGCTTTGCAATGGGGCAAAGGGTCCTACTGTCACGGGTCCTGTGTCGCTACAGCAGGACCCTTTTTGGAGCGGATTTTGCCGCGATTCTCGCTTGCTCAATGCAAGCATTTGCGCGATATCGCACAAAATGCAAATCGCGCGACAAACGCGCGATTTGCGAATCGCACAGTGTGAATTGGGCCTTAGTGAGATCTGAATCTGACATGCTGTAAGGCTCAGTCTCTAAGGTTATTATTAGCTGTCCCTAAGTTTGGAGCAGCCTAATAATAGCCAAAAAAGTTAATTTATGAAGCAGTCATAGTGACTGCTTGATATAAACTGACAAAAAAATAAAAAAGTTTGTATAAAAAAAATTAAGTGTAAAAAAAATTAGGAAAATAAAAGTTATATATAAATATATTTTTTATACTATAATTATTATTAAAAAATTCCAATTCCTTGTTTTTTCCCCTCATTTTTTTATATTTTATTCAAACTAAGTGAGGCGTTAGGTACACATGTTTGATATAATTCTATAGCCCTATCTGTCCTCTAAAAACAATATATAATATGTGTGGGTACATTTAGTAAGAAAGACAGGCCCAGAGAGACTAAACGGAGGGGCTACATGACTGGGGGGAGGAATAGTCCCAGGATAAGGAGTTAAAAATAAGATGGGAATTAGCTGTTCTTACCTGATTGGACCTTGGGGTCAGGTGTCCGGGAGGCCGCATGGGTGGGAACTGCAAGGGATGAGGGGCCTTCTTTCTGGAAAATCGATGAATGAAGCAGGTTGTCCCGCCTGCCCTTCCTCGAGCTGGTTGGGGTGTGGCAGGGGACATGGGAGGAGTTTTTAGGAGAGGCCTTATTTGGGCTGTTGGGCACCCAAAGACCCCTTCTCAGATCAACAGTCGTTGAGTATTTATTTGTATAATTATTTGGTTTATTACTTTGGCTATTGTTAAAGTTGGTTTGTTTCATAAAAGGGCTGCTGTGGCCGTTAAAATCCATGTCCCACAGTCTGTGTGTTTCATGGGGGTTTTTCGTTTTAACAGAGGGACTAAATCGACAAATCCATCAGTCAAGTATATTACTGCTGTGGAAAAATCACACAGCAAAAATGTAAAAAGTGTGTCAGTCATTTATGAACAGAAACTGAAAACTAGCTCAGTCATGATGGGGTTAAGTTCTTAAAGAGTGTCTTTGTTAGAATTGAAAACATCTTTCTCTTGCCAATGTAACCTAGTACGTTATTTGCAATATCTAAATGATAGTCCAGCCCATTTGATATTCAGTAACCGGTATAAAAAGGATCTGCAGTGCTTTTACGCTGGTGATTGTGGACTGGCACTCACCACCATGTATTTCTCCGTGGATATCACGCTCTTCCTTGCAGTAATAATCACTGGGATTCTCTGTTTCATGAGCCTAGGTCTGCTTCAGAGAAGAGGAAAACTTCCACCGGGTCCGATCCCCTTGCCTCTACTGGGGAACATTCTACAACTAAGTGGAGGAAGCATAGTGACTAAACTGGTAAACGTAAGTGAACAATTTGGTCTTTGATGGGCTGGTTTTGTAATTAACCATTAGTCTTGTAGGCTTACAAAATAACATTTCAGTCATGACACAGAAATTTCTTCAGATTTAAACCAGTGTTTAGAAACCTTTTAGATAGGAATTAGCAAATACACCAGATGTGAGCTGTCATGTTTACTGGATACAAATGAAACCTTTTTTCTTAGTCAATAGATGAGCAGTAAATGTAATTAATAAGTGGCATTTATACTTTGCAGAAGGCACAAAAACATTAAAGTCCGTCTTTGGGCTTAGTTTACCTAAAAGAATGGGCTTCCTCACCACACTGCACATTAATGCTCAGGAAAACACGCATTGACATGCATGTGTCACAACAGTACAACCGTGTGAACCTAGCCTTTAAGAGACCATGTCATCAACTTTAAAATTTCCAGGCAGAAGCACAGAAAAAGTCAAGTATTTTTAGTTTTCACAAGTGTTTCTGGCTTTCCATAAACATTTTTGTTTTAACTTGCAATTTGCAACGTGCTAGTAAATTTGATCAGTCAGTTTCCATAGCACAGCCCCCTCCCTCCTGCGCTGCCATTAGCCTTTTCCTCTTCTGGGAATGTCTAATAACTGACTGTGCTGGCCAAGTTCCTTCACCTTTCCCCCTTCCCTCCCTAATTAAAGGAGAACTATGAGGATGATTTTCACTCATCCTCATAGTTCGAGCTGACATATTACAATGAAACTGTGACACGTCGGCTCAATAGATCGGGAAGTGAGCGAACACATACCGTCGCTCGCTCACTTCTCAATCATCTCCCTGCAGAGAGCCGTGACTGTCACTCACAGCTCCCTGCAGGGATTCCCCCCTCCCCGATCCTCCTGCGCTGACTGGCGTAACGGACAGGGAGGGGGCGGGTACAGCTGGCTCTGCCTCTAGATAGGCAGAGCCAGCTGTCAATCACGCAGCTGGGTGGATCTCGACAGTAATGTCGGGATCCGTCCTGGCTGCGGCGGTCTCAGTATACCGCGAGCTATACATGTAGCTTGCTTGTTTGTTTTAAGTGCATTATGTTCCACATTATATGTGCAATTATTGTATTTTTGTTATTTGCCTGTAAAGGCCTCCCTTGTGTAAGCATCCAAAAGCCAAGACTGCTGTTGGGAGCCGCCATCTTGTATGCACTGTCTTGGATGCCACTCTCAAGGTTGTCACTCAAGTCACATGTTTTCGTGTTTTCCTTTGCTCCTCCCTAGCTGGTACAGAAGAGGTTAAGTAGGTAGGTAAGGGGGAAAGGTAAAGGAACTGGACAAGCACAGTCAGTTATTAGGCATTCCAAGAAGAGGAAAAGGCTAATGGCAGAGCAGGAGGGAGGGGGTCTGTGCTATGGAAACCATTATCAGTGTCATTGTCAGTGAGGGTACTATGATCTTTTGAGAAAAGCCTTTTATACATCTACATTGCATAGAACGCATTCACCTAATATGAGAAAAAAACCCTATATCTGAAGCTAAGCCCACTTTATAATAATAAAATATTTAGGGTTATAGTCAGATAAAAATTATGTGTTTATGGAAGCCAACCTTAGAAAGACAGTTGATTGGGTAGGAAATGTTGGGTCAATTTTCTATTGCCCACTTAGCTTCGCTGCCCAAGCATACATTCAAAAGTACAGGTGTTAGCCTCAATCCATCATTCTATGATATGAATATGTTCTATTTCCACATAGATGAGGAAGAAATATGGGGACGTGTTTACCGTCTATCTGGGGTCTCGGCCAGTTGTGGTGGTTAATGGGTACAAGGCGGTCAAAGAAGTCTATTTGGACAGAGCTGATGATTTCTTAGCCAGAGGAGATACAGAAACATTTAACACTTCTTACCATAACCATGGTGAGTAATTGTACACACACAAAAAAAATATACAATTTTCTTGCCTTCTGTGTCCTCACTGAGAGATAAACCCTCACTGTTTGTCCTGGGGATGACTGCCACTGGTACAGGACAGCACCACACATGTAAACCATTAATGCGTTCTGGTGTACAAAATGCAGCAGTTGCATTATGATCCGTGTTATGATGCATGGTCTTCCCATGAATGAACTGCCTAACTGCAATGCACATTAATGAGAGAAATAGTGTAGTACTGCACTGCAATGCAGCGGAATAGTGTGAATCCAGTCTTATGGTTAACAGTATTTTTAGTACATTTATCCTTTAACCTTTTCCCTGCCAACGACATAAGTAACATTAATTCAACCGTGTGTGGCAGCTCATGCCAAAGCATTGCGACACTTTGCTGTGCATTGTAATACACTGCATTGTAATACACTGCAACACACACAGTGCACAAACATCACTGCAGATAAGACGTTACCCCAACACATAGGTGTGAGGCCAACCTCCAGATTTTTAGCATAAGTTGCCTATTTACAGTTTTGTGATCCTACATTTTTTATCGTTTCACAAAAAGGCAGAATTTAACATTTACAATTATTTGTTTGTGACAGGGAAAAGGGTTGGGGGTTGGCTTAGTTTTATCCTGGGCTTTAACAAGGGGTTAAATAGGAACACTTTTACTAAAACTGTGTTTTTATACTTGTGAGGTCACTTTTATTGACACATGCAGATAAAAGGCCGCTCTTCTGATCTCAACATAAAATAACTGATATAAATATGATGTAACAATGATACAGGAACAAGATATTTTTAGGTAAAGCTGCTGAGGCCCCTGAGATACAGAGAGGGACCCGGCTGGCACATTGATAACCAGGTTTAGCCCATTAAACCCTTCGAGATACTTAGATAAAGTTATTTGTGTTTAGCTCATAACTAATGACAATTATGAATCTGTATGCTTGGAAATATCTAAAAATGTCTAATAAAAAAAGATTTTAAGAGAATGCATCCATAACTCAAATTCTGGACTCACTGAAAATGTGCTATAATATCCCTTCAGTGGCCATCTTGGGGAAAAATGCCAGATTTAAAGGTAAACCCCTGACAAAATAAAAAACATGCGGGCCTTTCAAATTACATAACTTAACCTTGAGATGATGAAGCAGACATCTGTATGCATTGGTTGTTGAGTATGAATTCAACAAGCAATCCACACAGATTAATTTTGAAGTTGTACTCCAGACAGATCTAAAGGGAACATGTTGTTGCAACTAGACATGTGCGATTCGGTTCGTTCCGAAATTCGCTTCGGACGAATTTTTGGAAATTCGGAGATTCGGATGCATCCGAATTCCGAATTACAGCTAAGACGAATGCAAACGAATCCGAAATTCCCGATTTCCCGAAATTCGTTATTGGACGATTTCGTTGCAGCAAAATGACATTAGGAAAAAAAAAAATGACAACATTTTCCCTCTACAACAAATCTATGGTTAAAGAAGAACTATGGGGTCAGTGTTTTTCCCCATAGTTCTCCTTAGGGTAACGGGAGGACACAAACTAGCGTCCTCCCGTTACCCTAAGCTCAGTAGCTCGCGGTATACTGAGACGCCGCAGCCGGAGCGGATCCCGACTTAGACGACGGGATCCGCCCAGCTGCGTGAGTGACAGCTGGCTCTGCCTATCTAGAGGCAGAGCCAGCTGTACCCTCCCCCGTCCGTTCCGCCAGTCAGCGCTGGCAGATCGGAGCGGGGAGAGGGGAATCCAGCCCCTCCCCCTGTCACGGCAGAGAGCCGTGACAGGATCGAGAGGTGAGCGAACCCGATCTACTGAGCCGACCTGTGACAGTCTCATTGTCACAGGTCGGCTAGAACTATGAGGTGAGTGGAAATCACTCATCTCATAGTTCTCCTTTAAAGGTTCAGAGTCAATAGTGTAGTGGTTAGCGTACAGGCTTGCCATTGTCAAGGTCGCAGGTTAGATAAATAGATAAAGGTTTTTGGTTTTTTTTGAATTGGCATTCTCCTAACATTCCTACCAGACCTAAAGGGTCTGGTATGAATTGGGGGGGAACCTCAGGCTTTTTTTTTTTTCCCTCTTCTCCAGACTGTAAAAAAAAAAAAAACAATGTCATTTTTTTTTTTACCCTAATGTCATTTTGCAGCAACGAAATTCGTCCATAATCCGAATCCGAAAAACGAAATTAAACTAAACACAATTTTTTTTGGTTTCAAAACGAAACTAAACTAAACAAATTTTTTGCTTGTGCACATCTCCAGTTGCAACTCTGTAATTATATCCCCATTTACATTTGCCACGTGCGGGAACAAGCAAGTTATCATGGGATTTTGAGCACGTTCACGAAATGCATGGAAAGCGCATTTCACACTTGTGGTGCCATTATTGTTAACAGTGTCCTATCTGCAGCAAGGAAAAATGCATGTTTTAACGCATGCAAAAACAAACGTGTGACAAACATGCAAGTATATGCGCACCTAAAAAAATGTGCAAAGCTTGCTGTTCAAACAAAAAAAAAATTCCAGCACACTTAGCAGTCAGCCTGCAAATAAAAAAAAACAATTTACACTGTCTAACAATTTGCTTTAAAAACAGGTTTTAGTTCCACAACTTTTGCAAAATATGTGAAAGCCGCACTGCCTCGTCAAGGCTCCTCTCTGTAGAGTGGCCCTAACTCTAACCCATGAGGACCCATTGGAGCATACATCGAGAAGCCATTTTAGAGTAAACTCCCCATTATCCGGCATTCAAGCAACCAGAAAAAAAAATCAAGGCCATAATATGCCCTCAATGTTTTTGCCGGGTGCTTGATAGATATGTGCACACTAAAAAAACTTGATTCAAATAAATTTATTTGGTTGCTAATGAAATTCCCTGTTTACATTTTGCTGCGGCCGACAGCTAGATTCTGCAGCTGGCAGGTGAATATAAACAATGGGCGTGGGTAATAGCCAGCCTACTATTGGCTATGGCAATTTGAAGTAGCCAATAGCAGAATCTAGCCAGCAGATGAACGGGCCCTACAATGGCACCTGGAAGTGTGAGGGATATATCAGGAAGCAAGTGAACATTTTGGCCCTGAAGTTGAAGTGTTGGAAGCAAAAAAAATGGGCAAGCGTAACGATTTGGGCAACTTTGACAAGGGCCAAATTGTGATGGCTAGACAACTGGGTCAGAGCAACTGCAGCTCTTGTGGGATGTTCCTAGTCAGTTCCCGTTCCCAGTCTGGTCTCCCGGTCAGGACCTACTAAAGTGGTCCAAAAGAAGGAAAACCCGTGAACCAGCGAAAGGGTCATGGGCAGCCAAGGCTCACTGATGCACGTAGGGAGCGAAGGCTGGACCGTGTAATCTAATCCAAAGGAAGTGCTACTGTAGCTTAGATTGGTGAGAAAGTTAATGCTGGTTCCAATAGAAAGGTATCTGAACACATTGCAATTTGCTACATATGGTTCTGCGTAGCAGCAGAGTGGTCATGGTGACTGCCCATGCTGATCGTCCGCCAAAAGATCCTACAATGGGTATGTGTGTATCAGAACTGGACCACGGAGCAATGGAAAAAGGTGGACTGGTCTGATGAAACACATTTTCTTTTACATCATGTGGATGGCCAGGTGTGTGTGTGCTGGGTACCTGGGGAAGAGATGGCACCAAGATATACTATAGGAAGAAGGTAAGCTGGCGGAGGCAGTGTGTTGCTTTGGCCAAAGCTCTGCTGGAAAACCTTCGGTCTTGCAATTCATGTGGATTTTACTTTGACACATAAAGCCTACCGAAACATTGCTGCTGACCAAGTACACCCCTTCATGGAAGCTGTATTTTCTCATGGCAGTGGCCCCTTTCAGCAGGATAATGCACCTTGCCACACTGCAAAAAACTTTTAAGAATGGTTTGAGAAACACAGTTAGTTTGAGGTGTCGACTTGGCCTCCAAATTCTTCAGATCTCAGTCCAATCGAGCATCTGTGGGATGTGCTGGAAAACAAGTCCAATCCATGGAGTCCCCACCTCGCAACTTACAGGACTTAAAGTGACATTAAAGTCAAAGATTTTTTTCCCCTCCCCCAATGTTAATTAAAGCACTTACCTTAAATGATGTTTCTTAATTCGACCTTCTTCTTCATTCCTGTTGTTTTCATCTGTCCCTCCAGCACTACTACGGGCAGGGCCGGATTCCCCACAAGGCCACCGAGGCCCGGCCTCGGGGCGGCAAGACGCAGAGGGGCGGCAGCGGTGTCCTTGTGGGGAAGTTGCCCTCTCTACATTCAGTCCTGCTTTGTACAAGCAGGACTGAATGCAGAGTGAGGCAGCCGATTTTTCGTTTACATGTCATCTCGGCGATGTCGTGGAGATGACATGTAAACAGTGTGCATCCTACTCCTCTCTCCCCTGCACTTACCTCTCTCCTTTGGTTCCGTCCTCCGGGCTCTGCCGCCGAGTCCATCTCTTCACTGCAGTGAGCGGCAGGGTTAAAACCCTGCCGCTCCGTGTAGACTGTAGACAGTGAGAGGGGAGAGCCGTGCTCTTCCTCTCTCACCTGTCACAGGAGTTCAAGCACAGGTGCAAAAAAAATATCTTGCACCAGGGCCCTTTGTTCCTTAGGTCCGCCACTGCCTGCACTGGACAGCTTCCTTCTGAGTTTGGATGAGCTTGGGTTTGGTCCGAAAGCGAGCTCATCCCTACTAATAAATAACACACACGCACTATTGAAAAGAATGAAAAGCATTTAACTAACCAAGCAACATCTCACCTGCGCCTCACTCCCCCACGTTGGACTCTTTAGAAAGACTGCAATGTCTTAATGTTTGCTCCACCTTTTCTACCATCTGTATACATTGTATCATTGCCTGTTGTTCGATTTTAAAATGGGAGCCCCATGACTAGTGTATGGGGAACTGTGTAATAACAAATAAGCTGCAAAAAGTAATAACTCATCTTTAGCTGTAATGATTGGCCTTCTCCTAACAGTTCTTTGTTGATTTGTCTTTTGATTTTCAAGCCCTTCTTTGTCATTCTCAGGCAAGGCAGTGAAATGATCAGCTATGCAAACAAATGTGCCTTCTACTGCTTGTGTACACAGGTTCCTGGAGTATTTATTCAATGCAAACCAATACATATTTAAAAGTTATTTATCATTTAGACCCATTTATTGAATGCCTGTGAATACCAATGTGTGCTTTCTAAATACTGACTGTATGCCTTTACCGAGCTTTGTCTACAAGATTTGTGAACATTTCCCACAGTGCTTAATGTGTGTATAAACCAACACGTTTTTTTAAAGTTTTGGATAGAGTTGGGGATGGTTAAGTTTTTGTTTTTTTTTTACCTCCAGAGATACATCAGAAAGTGAAAGTTATTTTTTACAAAATGAAGCAATATCCCTTCTTAGAAGGTTGTCACTAGAACAGGTGTCCCTATTGCAAGATTTGCCCTCTCTTCCTGTTCCTGAGACAACTCTAAATTTTTGGATTTTCGATCTTTTCTGTCTTGCTGGTAACGGTCACCAGTCAGGGCAAACCTGATCTCCTCAGAACACGGAAAGAAGCTTCCTCTTTTGCCACCCATGCAGCTGCATCTGGGGAATCCCCCACTTGCAGCTGCGTGTAAGCAAACGGGCAGATTTCTGTGACATCATTAACTTTATATGGCCACATAGCTATATATGGTTAATTACATTGACCTAATATGTAGCCATATAAGGTCGATGATGTCAGCACAAGCATCCTGCTCCTTTGTTTATGTGCAGCTGTGGGGCTGGGAATTCTTCAACCTGCAGCTGATGGTGGGCACATATCATTTTAGGGTTCGGACGAGTTTGGGTTCAGTCCGAACATGAGCTCATACCTAGTCACAAGGACAAATAGAGAGGGTGAATCTCCACTCTAGAGATACAAACAGCAATAGAAACCATTGTCTATCACCTTAAGAAACCACAGTGTCTCTGAAATTTTTGTTCTTTCTTTTGTTTCTGTACAGTGTTGTTATTGCAACTTAGACTTTAGTAAATTACAAGGTCTGGAATTTCCAGTAATCTATTAACGTTAAACGTGAAGGTGCTGGACTTATGTCAAGCAATAGAAACCTAACAAATGTTCTAACACTTCATCACTCTATATCTATTTAAAAAAATCAGAAAGATGTAATACAGGCTGTGTGTAGACCTTTCTACAAAACTTTGCCTGAAAGGATCTAAAGCCCTTTTCATTAAAGAGTGCAAACTCTTTAATGAAAAAAGAGAGGGGAATCCCTGGTGGTTAGCAGGTCACCCCATTGGAAGGTTTCCCATCTGTTTCTGTTCTGATGACAACCCATAATTTGGGATTTTCTTTCACTGTCAGTGATGATGGTCACCAGGACAAATAATGTGGTTGAACGGGGACACAGACAACATAAATAACTGATGGTATTCTAATCATTCTAAACTCTATCCAAAACTAAAGAAAGAACATTTTGGCTCCAGTTGCACTTTAATAAAAAAGTGTGCTGGATCGTTATAACCAAAACTTTTATTTACTTTTCGGTTGGAGTTGGGAAGGGTTAGAGCCATTGTTGAGATTTTATTGTTGTTCTGATTCCACTGAGCAGATTGACCTCCTCTATGTGCCCTGTTGGTTAATGCATTTAAAATAGAAGGGAAATGCAACATTTTACAGTTTTACCCAGAACAGGAATGGAGGGGAAATCTTGCATTGGGGACAATTGTTCCGAGGGCAACTGTTTATGAATAAAATTACCCACACTTTGTGGAGTTTCACTTCCTGTTCTGTCTACATGAAAGGAAATTAAGGTAAATTTACCAAATGGGGCACAGACAACAAAAAATGATCTGGCAAGGGGTTAACCCCTCCCTACTCTATCCAAAAACTGAAAAAGTATTAGGTATTAATACACTCTGAAATAAAACATGCAGAAAGAGAAAATATTTTAGAAAATGTGGGAATTCAGCATGGCCATTGGTGCAACCAATATAGGTCTTTTCACCGGTGATTACTTTAATTATTATACAGCAAGTAGACTAGAGCTGGCCATTCTCTGGTAGATTTTCATGTGGCATGTCATACGGATAAACTTGTCAGAACCTTCAATAATACCATCAGAGATTTGATGAATGTTGTTCAAAATTGTGTTCGATTATGGACTGAATGGAGTTTCCCGATCGAAAACTGCAAATACAGTTAGAATTGTGTTTGTTCTACAAAAATGTTCAATCCTGCTTTGTTTTGATTTTTTTCATAACTACAGTCACAATCAATTGTCAAATTGACCCCATTAACTAGAAAATCAAAAGAACATTCCGAGAACCATATTTTTAAACAAAATTCTAACCATGTATAACCAGCTTTGAACCAGGCTCTGAGGAGGACCCTTGTTCATTCTGGGTCTGCTGTATAGAGTAAAAAAATCCACTGACACCACATACACAAGAGGTGACAAACAACTAGTATTCCGGTAGGTATTTGTCACAGTATACAAAAAGAAAAAATGCAGGGCCAATGTTCATGGGGCGCAAAGGACCCCTTCATCTAGCTGCAAATAAGATAAATGATAATTCATCTATCATATTGACACCTTGATAAAGGGAGTCTTTGTGTCCCTTAAATATCTGTTCTGCTTAGTTTTCTTTTGTATGCTGTAAGGCAAACCTTGCTTCAAATACCTACCTGAGCACTAGCTGTTCATTACATGTTCATCCCATAGTTCACTGCAGTAGAACTATTTTGCTGTATTATAAAGGACATGAGAAGGGATCTTCTCTATTTGTATTTTTTCATATATTATTATTATTATAATACAGGGTTTATATAGCACCAACAGTTTGCTCAGCGCTTTACAATATAAGGAAGACATTACAATCACAATACAATTCAAGACAAGATGGTAAGGAGAGCCCTGCCCGTGAGGGCTTACAATCTAAAGGGAGGGGCAAGTGGTACATGAGGAGGTAGCTGTGTGTGAATGAATTGTATGAGAACTTGATGATTCAGTGGTTAGGTTGAGATGGGATAGGTTTCCTTGAAGAGATGAGTCTTTAGGGTTTGCCTAAAGGCAGTCAGAGTGGGAGATAGACGGACAGGTTGGGGTAAAGAGTTCCAGAGGATGGTAGAGACTCTAAAGAAGTCCTGGAGGAGAACATGGAAAGAGTTGACAAGGGAGCTGGAAAGCAGGAGGTCTTTTGAAGAGCAGAGGGGACGGTTAGGGTGATACTTTGAAACAAGGTTTGAGATATAGTCAGGAGCAGAGTTGTGGATGGCTTTGTAAGTTGTTGTTAATATTTTGAATTTTATTTTTAATATATTTTGATATGCACTATACATTGGCAACCATAAATCACTATTTAAATTTGTATATTTAACCTGTTAGGAACCCATTTAGAATTTTTTTAAACTCTTGTTGCAATGTTTAGATCCAGCCAATCACTGGCCAATGGTATAGTAAATAGCTTAGTACATTTCTGCAGGTACCACATTTTTGTCTAAAACTCCAGTATAGACCTGTAAGTATCTTTTACTTATACTTGATGTGTCAACATGTATATAACATGTGCTTATTTTGTGGATCAGGATTCGTCTTTACTACTGACATAAACATGTGGAAGGAGCTTCGTCGATTTTCTCTGTCAACAATGCGAGATTTTGGCATGGGGAAGAAGGGTATAGAAGATGTTATTATAGAGGAGTCTCAGTGTCTAGTGAAAGAATTAAAAAAGACCAAAGGTAAGACGAAAACTACTTCATGTGTATCTATAGCCAATATTTTAAATAGAGCTGTGATCAATTAGAACCCCTGTCAGGTTTGTATAGCTGTCTGTCTCCATTGCCATGAACAACCAACATTTTGAGTTGTTGCCAAAACAGGAAGAGAAGGGAAATCTTCCAGTAGGGACACCTGTTCCAGTGACAAGTAAGGATGTCTTTCACTTTAATGGGATTTCCTTTATTTTCTATTGTATTCATGGTACAGGAAGTGCCATGGTTTTGACAGTGGGTTGGTAAAGCCTGATGTGTTTCACAGTCGTAGTGGATACTGCTTTCTCAGTAGTCATGTGGTAACTGCTGTCCATATTGCTACTGAGGAAACAGCATTCACTACAACTGTAAAATGCATCAAACTATACCCAGCCATTGTCGAAACCAGGATGAAGATATGAAAAGCTACGAGTAGATTTGATCTGAGATGGCAATGCACAATGTTAGCTGGCCAGTGGGTTGTGGAATTGTAGTATATGGAGGTGATAAACACTGTTTTTATAAGAAGAAATCTTACAGAGTTTTAATTATTTTTTTAATTAAAAAAATGCAGTTTTATATAAATTTTTTTCACGAGTGGTGCCTCTAAAGTCCGATCCCTTTTTCTCTTTTGGAAAATCTGCTTAATGGACAAGTGTCTTTTTCAACCTGCCTACGTAGCTATTTAAACTTTGCATACCTTGTTTGCTTGGGTTTCAAGGATTTTATAGTTTCTTGCAGGGTACGTGTGAGTACATGATTCAACCTCTAGGTGCTTGTGTTTTATGTCTGCAGCCTGCTTAGTAGTTTTAGACCCAGTGTCAGTGGGATTTAGGCTTGTGTTGATGGCTTCCGTTTGAGATGCCTCTGAGATCATTCAGAATTCATTGACAGGTACATCTGACCTACAGTTGACTTCTTTCTGACTTCTATTTGACCTGTATTAATTGGGTTTTGCATTCCCGTAGATGTAAGGGAATACAGAACCCACTTGAAGCTAGCAAAAGCCCATCAATACATGCCCTATAGGTGACCATCGGTTTACTTTAAATGCAATATTTTCCCTTTAAATCCTTTCCCAGACAATATGATTTATATATAGCCATGTAGTTTGCTTTTCTGAGTCATGTTTCATTATTCCCCCATATTCTAGGAACATTTTTTGATCCTCAACAGATCTTCAACAAGGTTTCTGGTAATGTAATCTTTTCCATTATGTTTGGGCATCGCCATGATTATGAGGATGTCGAGCTTCTTGATGTTGTAAACACTATGTGTGAAACATTCCACATCATCAGTTCAGGCTGGGGGCAGGTAAGAGCAAATGACGAGTAAATTGAGATTCTACTTATAATCAGTAATAATTGGTAATACTTTCTCTTTCTCTCTTTATAACTAGACTGCCCTTCTCACTCTGTTCCTCTCTACATACTAAATAGATTTATATTTGTAAAGATTCTGGCACATGACACACACGTTTGGACTCCTCCCACAGACACTTTATTGCTGACCTTTATTGGAATAACAGAATTAAAAGCGTTCCTGTCAGGAGTACAATTCAAACAATGTAGTAGCCTGGTTCTTGCCTGTAGACCAGGGGTGGGGAACCTTTGGCCCTCCAGCTGTTGTGAAACTACAAATCCCATGAGGCATTGTAAGATTCTCAGAGCCACAGGCATGACTCCGAGAGACAGATGCATCATGGGATTTGTAGTTTCACCCACCCCTGCCCTAGATGGTTTGCCTGCTGTCTGGAACACCTGGCACCACCATCTCCAAATCAACACCACTACACTGAATGGACAGCACAGCGGTAAATCATCCCACTAGAATGTAGTTGAATTTGATATCAGTTCCAGTCTTGTAAACCAGCATGACCTTCAACACCTATTATGATAGTTCATCTCCAGATTATAAGATGGAGTCTCCAACCTTTTGCCTCTTCTTGCTCAGTGTCCCATACCATCCATGCCCTGACCATGCAGGCTCCGCTGTCCTCAACTCAACATTCAGGAGCTACTTGATCTGCTCCACTTTCTCTGCTTTATTCAGACAAAATGGCCTTGAGAGGCCTGTGCATGCAGTCAAATTCAATAGTATGCCATGATAAGTTGAAACAGGGCAGATCTCCTCTATTGTTAAATCAGTACTAGCTATCTCCTGGCTAATGTCAACGAAGTACCCCTCTGCAGGCATTTAACAGGTACGAGGAAGTCACACTTCCATAGTTCCCATCACAACCAGTCCTGGGCAAGGAACCAAAGGTTGCTGTACCTGCAACTACACAAACTGTTAAATACATGACATAAACTGTATATAAATTTGCACTGTGCACATTTCTATACATTTTGTTTTGTTTTGGATGGAGTAGGAAGGAGTTACAATTTCTTATAGGTTTTCTATCCCTGTGTCTTTGTCCTGTCTGGGAAGATTCACCTTCTCTGTTTAACTTAGTGATCAGTGTCAGAAATTTGTAGGTAATCTAAAAAGTTGTGGTTGTTATTGGAACAGGAAGTGAGGGGAATCTTTCAGTGCAAATGTACCCTCTGTGTCCAGGAAAGGAACTGAAAGAAAGTCTGCCCAATAGGACATAGACCGAGAAAAAAACTTATATGGGTTTTAATCTAAACGACAACAACAACAAAAGTTTAGGCTTTAGATATTCCTAAATGTTTTGCTGTGTTCATGGTTTCACATTTGTAGTATATGTTTAGCTGTTGAAAATTTGCATAACAAATTTCTCCCCAAAATGGGGACTCTCTGGGAGCTCTCTAAATATACTGTGTGTTCTCTAAAGCTAAAAGTATATAAAAAAACAATTTTAGAGAAGGGGTTAGAGCTTCCATTAGCTGTGGAGTTATTTAGTCCTGGTGACCACTGTAACAGAAAAGCAAAAAATATGAGTTGTAAGTGGGACAGGCATAAAGGAGAAGTTATCCAATTATGACAACTGTCCAATAGAGAATTTTCTAAAGTTAAGAGAGAGTTGCTCCTACTCCGATATTGAAGGATAATCTCCAGAATGGAACATAGTCAGCAAAAACAAACATGACTGGAGTTGTAACCATTCCTCACTATCCAAAACTAAAAAAAAAAAACAAAAGAAAGTTTTTTTTCTTCATTTTTCTAAAGATATTACTGTACACTCTCTTTACAAAATAAAATAACTGCAGAAAACAGTTAGAAGTCTTTAGAGCTTCCCCTGCTGGGTAAACATGGCAAATATAAACAATATTCATATGCAATATTTCATGTATAATATAACATATAAAATCTCCAGTCATTAACTTATTTAACAAAATATGTACAAAAACATTTAAACATGCAGGTTACTCATTATATGTGACTTACCATGGAATATCCAATGTAATTTCTATAGGTGTTTGAAATGTTCCCCGGAATTATGAAGTTTATGCCAGGGAAGCACCAAACAATTTTATCCAACATGCAGAAGCTGCTCCAGTATGTGAAGAAAAGAGTGGACAAGAACAAAGAGACTTTGGATCCAGATAACCCCAGAGATTATGTGGATGCATTCCTCATTAAAATTGAGAAGGTAAGCTCCTTAAAGGGCAGGGACTGATGTGAATGAATAGCGTGTAATGCGCTGCTTAAATTGGCAATGCTATATAAAAGCTCAGTGTAGTGATGACTCCTACAGGAGCCACTAATCATTTTCGGGTTCTTCTACAAGTACCTTTTCTGTGGTTACCTGCCGTATTTCCACATCCAACCGCACCCACAAATTCAGGAAATAAATGGGCTTGAGTTTCTAGGTTTTTTTTTTACAACTTACTGAAAATGTAATGTTTTTTGTTTTTTTTTGCTGTCTGTTAAGAATTCATTTCACCTCCTCCGCCAGAGACACAGCAGGAAGTGAGGATATATTTCAAAAGAAAGGGTCAATTCTGCCTTAGACAATTGTCACCTATGCAGGTGCCTTGAATGAAAGATTCCCTTCATCTCCTGTCCTTTTGGCAACTATACCATTTTGGATTTTCTATTCGCCTACCAAATGGTAAAAAGATTCAAGGGAGCCATAGAGAGGTCACTGTGAGGGGGTCAAGGGATGCCCTTTGCAGGGACACTATCACTTTGTCCTGCGTGTGCAAAGTGACAGTGTCTATTTACGTTTGCTTCACCCATACCTGATATTTCTAGTAGATAATAGTGAGCTTTTTGATCTGATCAAGTGGATCTCCAAAGTTATGAATACACAAAATAAATCAATATGTTTCCTTGAATCTTCTCCAGGAAAAGAATAACCCCAAGACTGAATATACCTTCTTAAACCTGGTGAACAGTACTCTGCAGATCTTCTTTGCTGGCATGGAGACCACAAGCTCAACAATGACCTACGTTCTTCTTATTTTGATGAAAAACCCAGATATCCTCGGTGTGCATGATATTTTAGTAATTTTTCTCTTCACACTTTAGTAAAGTTAGCTTGTATAAACTTTTAAGCAGTATGTGAAAAGGGGAAAAGAGTCAGACACAAAGAAAAAGATCTTTTAAAAGAGTTATATATGATAAAACAATAATATGAAAAAAAAACACCTAAAGTATACCTAAACCCAAAAATATAAATATAATATATTGCAGCATACCATTCCATAGATGTGTTGGATGCATTCGATTCCTGGTGTAGCGCTCACCCCCGAAGGAGCCACCAGAATAACCTGGGTAACCCATAGCCGGTTTAGAGATTTTGGTAACCAGCTGCCCCATTAGCATTAATCGCCCTCTTCTAGTGCCCACAGAGCTAATATGCAGGCCAGAAGTATGATGATGAAGAAGAACTTTATCAACATATTCACGCTGAGAGAGAGAGGGTATAGGGATCCTAGACATCCAGAGTGGAACAGGCACCGACTCACCAGTCCCTTTTTAGTATTTTACTGTAGATCCATTTGCAGCACAGTTGAATAGGTATTGGCACAGAATCTTCAGTAGAAGAGACACCAGGCTTGCTCCTGAGGTCCTCTCTATTCTAGACACCTCCAGTAGCCAGCAGTTTCCCTGATTCTCCTCTTACAACAATAGCAGAAACCTCCTCCAGACTTGAGGCCTAGCAAAACACTTCCCGCAGTGCCAGAACACCTGGAATTAACCAACTATAATTCAGCAAGACTGACTACATCTCTAGCAATCACTACATTTCTAGTAGCCACTCCACTAAAGGTGGTAGGGGCTACACTGGTAGTGGGTCTGGGGTGCTCTTCTGATTTGGACTATAAACACTTCCTCCTCTCTTCATTTCATTAAAGAGGGAGATTGGGCATTTGTAGTTTACAAAAGATATCTTGGAAGGATGATAACACTGTTTGACATATACGTTCAATGCACAAGAAGTGACAAGAACACTGCACGCCTAGCAAGATCAAATAGGTATTTTCTGAACTTACAGTAAATGTACTTAGCCTGAAATACAAAAACTAATGCAGTCACCACATCTAAGGACTGGTAAACTAAAATATATTACATTTTTGATCTTGGATTAAGATATATGTAAACTGTGGTATATTCTGGACAGATGAGGAGCGACTGTTGCCTATCCAGTGCTTTGCATTGAAAACCTTCAGCCATGAACTGCACACTACATTTATCCTGGAATGAGGTTAAATACATTTAGGGTGTTCCTCCTATAATACCTTAAAGGACATGTGTTAAACAATTCATAACCATACACAATGGCTAAAAACAACACTCATGCACTGAGCAGAGAAATATTTGACTGCCCTCAATCTTGATGGTATTTACCAAGGAGCTTTTTGTGACTTAGTCAATGGTGTCCATGTGTTCCTTCCTTCTGCTCAGTGTAAACAGAGAAAGGAAAGTCCTATGACTAAGAAATATTAATTGGAGCTTCCAATGGTCAGAAGCTGTGTAATTGGGGGTAGAAATAGGAATTAAATAGCCTATCTCACCTGATAACAGTTTTTGCAGACTGACAAGGACACAAAAAGGTACTCAATTTAGCTAAACAGTATGTGTGAGTATTCCAGAAAATGTAGCACAAGTTTTATTTTCAATTTTCTTCATTAGGCAAGGTCTGCGAGGAGATTGATCGCATCATTGGTCGAGATCGAAGCCCCAAAATGCAAGACAGAAATCACATGCCATTCACTGATGCTGTAATCCATGAAATGCAGCGAATCATTGACCTAATTCCAATGGGTGCAGCTCGGAAAACCACAAGGGATATTGAGTTTAGAGGATACTATCTACCCAAAGTAAATGTCCTTCACTAAAATATTGTGCCAAATGTACTTTATCAGTCCAATAATTGAAATTGTATAGTCATCTACAGACTCACTATATGGCTGTGATTGTTTTCTCTGGTAAAACCTGATCAGGCAATATGGGCCACAAAAAGAGCAACAAAAACAAGTTATGGTTGCAGGACTATCCATAGATCATCTAGCATTCTGTGAAAAACATTTAGAGGGTTATTCATTAAGCTGCCGAAGACAATCGAGTGAATAACCGAGCCGAACGCCATTCGGCTATTCACTTCGGCCCCGTACGGCTGATTTTAGCCATACTTTAGCTAAAATCAGCTGTACATCAGCTGGCTTCGGTCAGCGGAACATGCTCTGGAGAAGCCGTTCTAGTCAGCCGATCCAACATCTAGATCAACTGAGCCAAACCTCCAGCAGTTCACTCTCTGCCGTTCGCCCCTATTCTCAGTGAGCGGCATTCGGCTCGACTATTCTTCTCGCTACCTCCGAGGCAGCGAGCAGAATAAAAAAAATTTAAAGAAAAGAAAACCAATTATACAAAATAATTTTAAAAAATGTAAAGAAAAGAAAAAAAAAAAAAGAGTTTGGGGTCCCCCTTCCAAACCATACGAGACCCTTTAGGTCTGGTAGGAAAGTTAGGAGGGACCCCAAGTTAAAAAAAAAGTGCATAGGGTACCCCCCTAAAGTCCTACCAGGTCCTTTAGGTCTGGTAGGAAATTTAAGGAGGAACCCCACCCCCAAAAATGGGAGAAAAAACAAAGGGGGTCCCCCCTAAAATTCCCAACCAGACCCTCAATCCTGGCATAGGCCTGGCAGGGCAGGAAAGGGGGGTGGCGAGCAAGTGCCCCCACCCCTCCCTACGATACCAGGCCACATGCCCTCAGCACTGGGAGGGTGCTTTTCCAGGGAAAAGCACCTTGTCCCCATGCCGATTCTCCATTTTCTTTGTTTATGTTCTCTAATTTGTTAAAGTGAACCTACAGTAAACTTAAAACATGAATATTTTCTATCTCTCACTTTACCAGATTCTGAGTAAGATCTGGTTATGTCACTACTGTGTTGATCACTGTTCTCCTTACTGCGCAAGAAGCTATACGTCATGACCAGCAGTCCAAGAACCTCCATGCTTCTGTTTCCTTAACCTTTCCTGCTACTTCTTGATCACTACCCCACCAGTTATTACCTTACCAGTCATCGGGGGGCAGCTTTGACTGAGGAAGCAAAGCTCTGCTTCTCTACCAAGATGGCTTTCTCCATACAGAGACACAGATCAGTTTCAGGAAGACCACAAGCTGTGACTAGTTTCTTGCACACTGCTTGACTTCATTGACACAGCCTGCATAGTACAGGTCCACTCAATACCCTGTGCACTAGTGAATATGAGTAGATTGAGCCGCAATCTGTGTCAAAATTCTCTGCATTTTGCTTTTTTCTATTTGCTAATGCATGCTTATATACATGCATTAGTGGCAAGTAGGCTTTTACAAAGAAGAAAGGATAAGGGTATGAGGAGATGGAATTGGTGGGAGAGCCCATGCCCCAGAAGAACATCAGATGGCCTTATTTGAAGTATAAACATTGTGTGTGTTGTAAAAAGTTTTAATAAATGGCTAGCAGTGTTAAAAATCTACTGGAGGATATCCCACACAAGATGATATAGTTTGTGGCTGGAGAGGTCACACATAGCAAAGGACAATAAAACAGCTACACGGCAGTACGGAGTAAAGATAGCGCACAGGCGAAGGGGAGGAATCATTTACCCAAAAGTAAGTACAGTGGAATTACCCTTTAACACAACACTCGTAAATGCTCACCACAATACATTGAAGCACATGCGCTCATGCAGCCCAAATGGTGCAAATGGGCTCTAAATTTAGCTGTAGGCTGTTTGAGTTCCCTTTTTTAATCAAGAATGGCAACATAATAATTTGTTAATTGTTAATGTTCTTTTCAACAAAGAAAACTTGTGCATGTATCACCACCACTCCTACTAGCTAAAGAATATGTTACAGTGTGAACTATGAGTGAAAATGGACACATCCAAATTTTAATGAACTATTGGCACTCCCTCATTTTAATGAAATACAAACATTCTAATATAAGCAGGTTATATACTATATTCTTTTATACAGTACCTCAGCTTTTGTATTTACTTTTACAGCACACTAACATCTATCCAATGATTACCACGGTGCTAAAAGACCCCACCTGTTTTCAGTACCCTAATGCATTCAACCCCAAAAATTTTCTTGATGAAAATGGGGAATTTAAAAAGAATGATGGATTTATGCCTCTTGCTGCAGGTAAGCAAATATTCATATATGCATTTTCCACTCCTGTTGCATCAAACAATTTGGAATTGTGGAACTTGCCTGCAAACTGTGTACACATTTGCACTTATTATGATATCAGTTACATTTGTGTCTGCTGCACATAGACATAATGACTCACATGCTACACAGTCAGATGATTGATATGCAGTATAAAAGACAGTAAAAACTTACTCTATTAAAAAATACATGTCAATAGTCAAAGCAATATGGATAATGATGAAACAAAAATACATATTTTTTAACATGCAAGTATTAAAATGTTTAAAAATAGAAAAATAAGCATAAAAAAGTTTGTTTATTTGACAAAAAATGTCAACCTCCAGCTTTGCACCTAAGCATTCCATCACATGCTAACCCTTTACACACACACGCACACACACACACACACAAACACACTCACAGTACCACATTTTTTATGCACTGCACATAACATCTGCTGTTGTAATTCTCACGTTACAAAAAAAATGTCTTTATCACTCGCTGCCATACTCAGACAGGAATTGTAATGTATACAATACAGTACAGTGACGTGCGGTGCCTTTTGTGTTAGGTGAGGCATTCCCCCAGCCCCGCCCCCAGCAAAGCCCCACCCCGAGCCCACCAAAGCCCTGCCTCCCAACTCGGTCACCAAGCTATGCGTGGAGGAGGAAGGGAGGAGACAGGGATGTCCTCAGTGTTTAGTTTTTTTCGTTTTTTTGATTGGACAGCTTGGACCAGTGGCGGTTTGCCATTGGTCCAAGCCATCCAAAGAGCTCAAGCCTCTAACAGCATGTAGAGGCTGTTGCAGCTCTTGCCTCACTATGTTAGGTTACACAAGCAGTGGGGAAGCCCGCTGCTGTGTAACCTAACTTAGCTGTCAAAAGCCAGATGCAGCGCCGCCTGTAATTAACAGGCAGCACTCCGTCCATGACAGGTTACACAGTGGGGAGGATTTCCCTGCTGTGTAACCTGATAGAAGCCGATCTGAACGGAGAAAAAGCTCTTAGCTTCAGACATAAAGCTGACAGCTTCTTCCTCCATAATACTAGGTGAGGCTCTGCCTCACCTGCCTCCCCTGACCGCACGTCCCCGATACAATAGCTTTTTCAAAGAGGCAGAAATTCTTTCATTTCAATTATTTTTAAATATTTTTGAATGAAAAGAAGAAAAAAACAGTGCAAAAAAATATTTACAGAAAATAGATGATAAAACAGACAATAAGGCCTCATACACACTATGCGATTTAGGATTACCAAATCTCCCATTTAGAAGCAACCGTTGTCACCCATTCAAGTTATGACTGGGTGACAACAACCACATCTGTAAATGGCATGAGGGTTGGAATAGATCGCTGTCCCTGAATGCACCAAAGATATTTCTCTTACGGTGTTGAATAGGTCCCACGTGCCTTCTGGACCTTATAATATATGTGTGTGATGGCTAACTGATTGGCATCCTGCCATTAAGCAGTGTAAACCTTTTTATAAAGGGGACTCCATCACAGTAATAATTATGGAATACAAATAGAGTTTGATCAAGTAGTTAAAAAACAAACTCAGATTTTGGGTTTACTAAAACCATTCTCCAGGCTGTTTTATGAATATTTACAACAGTGCCATTAGGAGTCTTTGGCAGACTTTGCCTAATGGAGGTTTTATGATGGCCTGAATTCCAACCAATGTTCTTTGTGCCATCTGTGTCATAATCAATGTTGTCCCCTATTCTGGGTGCCCACCACAGACATGAGATCTAAATCTGACTGTTTTTGTCACTGACTTGCAAATTTATGAGAAATTAGGATGGTACTGTGTTTAATTTGAGTTCCCCATTGTCTTCACACAGTTTGGCTTTGTCAGTCCAAGTCAGTTCCCAAACTGGAAGAAAGAGTGCTCTCTCCTCTATAACCCAATCAGACTTTCCCTTTCAGACAGCAAGGCTTCCCATCACATTAAAGGTCCAATAGAAAGGCTTATGCTCTTTTTTTCATCCAATGTTCAGTTTGGATTTCTCAGGTTTACTTTACCTGTTTTTACTGAGTAAACACACCTACTCATAGGAGGACAGCAGCACCAACATTCTGACACACAATGATGGCAGCTGAGCTTGGCTGAGCATCAGTTCTTTATATCACAAAGGAAAGGAGAGGGTGTAATTGGTGCTGAGAGTGCACGTTATTATCATTATGCCTAAACTTAAAACTAAAGTTCTGAACAAACAGGCTGATTTCCTTTTATGTATTGCAAGCTTTAATTTTCACTTTTAACTGGGATACCATTGAAATAATATCAGCTATCTTTACTCTACCACAGGGAAGAGGAACTGTATGGGAGAAGCTTTGTTCCGAACGGAATATTTCCTTCTAGTAGTTACTGTCTTGCAGAACTTTGTCTTAAAGCCTGAACTTCCTATAAAGGATCTGGATATCACTCCTGATGTGTCTGGATTTGGGAATCTACCAAGGTCGTACAAGTTGGCTTTAATTCCTCGCTAGTGATTAACTTTCTCTACCACATTCTGAACATGAAGTAGTCCTTTCATCTACGACATAAACATCTAAAGCAGATGAACTTACTGAATTTGACTTTGTCTTCAGTGCTCTTTTCATGTCTGAACAGTTCGAACGGAGCTTCTGAAAATGAATTTGTCTTCTGTACATGTAATGGTGGAGTTTGGAATTATAATGAGCTGTGCGTCATCCTTAAGCTACAAAGTATAAACATTTATTATATTAACAGATGTAATATAATATAAACTCCTCCAGTGTTCTCTGATCGTATCACTGATGCAAAATTAGTTAGAGCTACAAACAATGTTCACAAATATATGTATACTGTATTCAAATCTCAAATTCTTTATTGAAATTTAGATTGATATTGGAGGTAAACTTGCAGTGAAAATCAGTAGATTGCATTGACTGGGTTAATCTGATATCTCTAAAGGACTATTATTCTCTTCCAGTGCCTTGTTTTTATAAATGTCTGTATGGCTTATGTTATATTATATGGGTATATATTATATAGTTGAAAGGAAGTTCCTTAACCCCCATAAGCCATTAAAGCCCATTGCACTCTATTCACCTTCATTTTGCTTTCTTCTTTGACTCCAGTGTATTTTGCCAAAATGCTGAAACTTCCCCCAATTTTTGTTGAATTTTTAGGAAAATGAAAACTTTTAATTTACCTCATCCCCATTAAAGTCTGCTCTTTAAGGAGCTGGCATTCTAATACCCCTTCCCCATGTATACACCAGGGCTGCAGAGATCAGTTCTGTGTTTGTGAAAAACCATTTGTAGTAAACAATGAGCATTGTCTTCTTACCCAGAATTGGATTATCCACAAGGCAACCTAGGCAGGTGCCTAGGGCTCAGTGGATGTCCAGGAGAGCACAGCTGGTCAAAGCTGTGCACTTGTCCGTCACTGATCTATCTGTTGTCTGATGATGTGGGCTATGCTGGTAAAGGCAAAGTAAATAGGGTGGTTTCTCTTTACCTACTGCATTCCTTATTTTTGACCATTGAAAGGGGGGGGGGGGGCAAGCTGTTACCTTGCCTAGGTCCCTTTTCTGCCTTATGTGCCTCCATTTTTACCTTCTAGTTTCTTCTCTTTTCTTGTTTTGTCCTCTGCCCCCCTTTTTAAAAGAAAACCATGGCCCAACCTTTTTTGCCATAGTTCTCTTTAGGGTCACAGGCACTGCAGCCAGGATGCTACCTGATTCACAGCTGGCTCTGCCTCTCTAGAGGCCGCCCCCCCCCCCATCTCTAGAGGCCTCTCTAGAGGGGGAAATCCCTGTGGGGAGCGATGTCTGACAGTCAACAGTCTCTGCAGGTAGATGATTGGGAACTGAGCGATCAGCCTAATATGATTGGTCAGTTCTCGAACAATAGAGTCTATGTGTTACAGCTTCAGTGTCACAGGTCGGCTCTAATTATGATGATGAGTGTATTTCACTCTTCCCATAATTCTCCTTTAATCTTCCTACTCGTCATACTTTTCCCTTGATCCTCCCTTTTTGCTCCTTTTGTCTTCTTTTTGCCTCCCATTCTCCCTCACGTCTCTAATGTGTAATAATTGTCTGTATGGCAACCTACCTTCCTTGTGAAGGAGAGTCTTCCTGCATGAGTTTATCCTAATCCAAATATCCTTTCTACTTCATAAAAAACTAGTGGCTAATACCCTCTATTGATTTTTCTCAGAGCCAGATTTTACAAGCACCACTATAAGTTGGGCTGACCATTCTCGACCACTGGAGACCTCGGGCTCATAACGTGTGCCCAAAACGGTATCATCTAAGTACGATGCACACCCAAGGCTTTCTCCCTGTGCACAACAATAGACACCCATCAGTTCAGTATGCTGTATATAAAATGTTTCTGTTCACTGAGGACCATCAGTAAAAATGTGCCAATAGCTTAATCCTGCCCTACAGTTGGAGAGTTATATCCACAGCATTTGCCGGAATTTGCTGCACCCTTGCAATACTTAAAAAAAAAAAAACAATGACATTTGATCTGATATGATCTGTCTCATAGGTTACTACTCCTGATTTATAATTGTTTTAATTTGTTTTTATTGCAAGATTTAGATTTGCAATTGTTAAGTGATTGTATAGCACCGTTTGTTAAAACATAAAATACATTTAAGATGTAGAGTATATTTATTGACTGGGAAAAGTGAGCACTTCAGCATCCTCACAGATGCCAGGGAGATCCAGCCTCTTGGCTATTTGCGGCTCAGCTTTTCTCGCTCAGCCACACCAAATGGCTTCACTGCCAAACTTTCTACTGGACTGGTTCTCTCAGCCACTAGACTAGACTTCAAGTATACTCATGGCAGACTCATGGCAGTATCCCACTGTCTGATTCAGTTGTTTCAAACACCCATCTTAAAGGAGAACTATAGGGTAAGTGTTTTTCCCCATAGTTCTCCTAAGGGTCACGGGAGGACATAAACTAGCGTCCTCCCGTGACCCAAAGCTCAGTATATCGCAAGCTACAGCTCACGGTATACTGAGACCGCCGCAGCCGGGACGGATCCCGACATTACTGTCGAGATCCACCCAGCTGCATGAGTGACAGCTGGCTCTGCCTCTAGATAGCTGTACCCACCCCCTCCCCCGTCCGATCTGCCAGTCAGCGCTGGAGGATCGGAGATGGGAGGGGGAATCCCTGCAGGGAGCCGTGAGTGACAGTCATGGCTCTCTGCAGGGACATGATCGAGAAGTGAGCGAGCGACGGTATGTGTTCGCTCACTTCCCGATCTATTGAGCCGACGTGTGACAGTTTCATTGTCACACGTCGGCTCCAACTATAAGGTTGAGTGAAAATCACTCACCTCATAGTTCTCTTTTTAAGACTCAATATATACAATGTCCACTAGAGGGAGTAAAAACCCACATTATAATAATAACCTACATAATAGAAGTAACTGAATTACAATTAAACATTTGGTTTGCAAACTGTCTACAAAAATCATATAGAGGTATATAAATATAAGTATACAGCTTCATAATTCTATAGAACCATAGGTGATAACACAAAAGGGTGGTGTGTCTGATTGGACAACTGTCTGTGCAGCCTATGTAGGAACACAGGGATATTTGCAACAAGAAAAAAATAAACTTATTGGACCGTGAACAATGGCAAGAGTAAATCATTTAAGATAAAAAGTTAACTTAACTAGAAACCTATATTATTTTATTTTCCTGGGACACATTCTACTGAACATAGATGTCAGCATAACTATTAATAGTGTTTGGGATGCATGATAAAATAAAGTATAAAATAAAATCATCACCTTCATATAACTCCAAATATATAGTAACATAGTAGGTGAGGTTGAATAAAGACAAGGATCCACCCAGTTCAACCTATGTATGTGTGTATTTGTGTATGTGATTGTGTATTATGTTACTCTCACACGTCCCATATCCCTGTAAATTAAGTGAAATAAGAAACTCATCAAGAAATGTCTTGAATTTATCAACGCTGTCAGAACAGACCACCGCCTGTGGAAGGGAATTCCACAATTTTACTACGCTCATAGTAAAAAAAAAAACCCTTCCAATTCTGAGACTGAGGTAACCTCCTTTCCTCCAACCTCCTGTTGTGTCCCTGTGTTCTCAATACAGTTTCCAGATTGAATAGTTTATTCCGAATATTGGGGTCCCCATTGATGATTTTGAAGACTGCAATAAGGTCCCCATATTTTCCTCTTTTCTAAGGTGAATAAGTTTAATTGTTAAATAAATAGTTTTTTGTACAACAAAAACTGCCCCGCATACTCCGGATGAGGCCAAACCAGTGATTTATAAATTGGAAGTATTACTTTTGTATCCCTTGCTGTGATACCTTATTCAATGCATGTCAGTATCCGGTTTTCTCTGCTGGCTGCTGCTTGGCATTGCTTACTATTGCCAAATCTGTGGTCTATGAGGACCCCCAGGTCTTTTTCCATGTCCGACTTCCCTCATATAGCACCCCCCAAGTAGTAGTTTGTGCACACGATCTTTGCTCTCATGTGCATAACTTTACATTTTTCGACATTAAATCACATTTGCCGTACTGAGGTACGGAGTTTCAGTTAGAAAGGATGGGGGGAAGAAAGGCTGGACTTCAAACTGCCTTAAATCCCCTCATACGGTGTCCAGCCATCCTCGCTCTAGAGCTGCCCATATTCCTGCACCTACCTAGAGCAAGGACGGCTGGATGCCGTATGAGGTGACTTAATGCAGTTTGAAGTCCTGCTGTCTATAATATTATTTTTGTGTTCATCAAACCTAGTCCGTAGGGTTCTGGTGGTACGTCCTACATATAATTTGCCACACGGACATAGGATCCCATACACTACACATAGGAAGATGCACAATTGATAAACTGTTTGATCGAAAAAACTTTCCCCTTTGGCCTCTCAACTACTTTTTTCCTGTGCCAGAGGAAGGCACAGGCACCACAGTTTGTCCAAATAATCCCTGGTCTAAGTGCACGCCCCTCTTAGACCTGATCTTACTCGGAGCTATTGATCTACGTAGGTCATTTGGTTTACGAAAAATTACCTGAGGTGCCCTAGGGAGGGATGTGGCAAGGAAAGGATCTTATTTTAATATTCTCCAATGTTTTTTTAGAATATGACTGATTCGAAAGGCAACATTATTATATTGTGTACAGAAGCTGGTTTGATATTTAGAAATGATGGCATTCTTTTTCTTGTTCTTTTTAGGGGGAGGCACTAAATGTTTCTCAAAAGCTTCATTAATGAGAGTTAAACTATACCCCTTGTCTCGAAATATTTCTTTCAGGGTCTCTCCTTGTCTAACATAGTCTGAATCTTGAGTGCAATTGCAAGTCCTTCTAAGACGTCCAAATTGCCCATCAGGCACATTGATCCATCCAGTGTGATGGCTGCTTCTTGCGTGTAAATAAGAGTTGCCTGCAGAAGGCTTGAAATGCGTCTTAGAGACGATTTTCCCTCTTTCTAAATCAAGGAAGATTAAAGAAATGCTGTCTACCACATATGTAAATTCCAAATGGAAGGATTTTTTCTACAGTAACCCACAATTTTACAGTGCTGAACAACATAATTTTAAACATACCTGTGAAGTATGAACACAGATTATTGATGTACTGATTTTCCAGATGAATAAAAGAGCCAAAAAAACAGTCTAGCAACATTCCTGATCTATCTCCACATGGCTGAAACAAGCTTGTAAACACTATTCTTCTTAAGCTGGCCATACACCAGTAGAATTTTGTTCAAATTTTTATTCTAAATTCTGAAAACTTTGCCAGAGCATTTGATCTCACCATCATTGAGTTAACCAATTGTGTTCAAAGCCCGTAAAATTTCAACCAGAACTGCTATTTGAATGGCAAGAGACCTTAATTAAACAGGTTCCTTTTGTGCCTAGTACATATGCAATACAATATGCACAATTTGCATGGTTAGATAGGAAAAGATTAGAATTTTCTACCCTGAGCCTTTGAATTTTCTCATACTCAAGTTCAAAAGCAATCATCGATTTGACTCCGATAACCATTAGAAAATCAAACCAAACAATGTTTTAACTAAATTCTACTTGTGTATGGCTAGCCTAACACACAGTAGGGACAACTGCAAAGTAATTGTTCAATTAGCTCATTAATAGGATATAAGTAGTCCCTATACCTAATCATGTGCAATGAAAATGAAAACAAAAACTTGTTTATAATGAAGTGAACACTTCTTCATATTATTAAATATGCCAAGTGATCATTTACTATGCAAAATGAAATTTCTCCACTCTTTTGGTAAATCCCCCACTGTATGTATATAGACCTCATTGTACTGGGGCCAGGTACAGGTTTAGGATGGGGGCCAGGTACAAGCTTAGGATAGTGGCCAGGTACAGACTTAAAGCCAATGTCCACCTTTGCGGAGGATTTGTTTTAAAAAAATGTATGCCAGCAATGTGCACCAAGTGTACATAAAACAGACATATGCAGCTGCTGTGTAAGAACCCACAAAATTACTTTTTATTAGATTTCCTCTTCATCTCTTCAAGGAAAAAGGACTGCCTGTGTTTTCAAGCCCTTTCTCGCCTCTCCCATTCATTAGTATTCAGACTGGTAACCCCCCCTTCCCAGACAGTGTATTTTGTGCAAAGGCAGAGCTTTTGTTTACTAATCATGTTACACTGAATAACAGGGAGGGGGAGAGCTGTTTAAAGCCTAATTGCCATCCGACCCTGGTGGTTTTGAATTTTGAGGCTTAAAGCCTAATAAAAGGTTCATTAGGAAATGAGTAAAGCCTAAAATGTGACTCATGAAAATGTGCACACATATACATCATCACCACAGCTTTTCATTACCACAATAATGCAAATTACTTGCAAAGGTACAAATGGACTTTAAGACAAGTTGGGTCTGGAGAAGAATCAGTAGTTTGTAGTAGGGGAGAATTAGAATAGTCAAGCAATTTCATTTTAATAACCGGACAGCAAATGAAGAATGACCTAATAGCCAGGCAGGGGTGAAAGTGATTGACTAGACTGTCCAGTTGAGGACCAGGCAGTTGGAACTTTCCATAAAAGTTCACTAGCCCATCTTCCCTAGTCCTCTTAAACCTATTCTACACTGACCCCCCCCCCATCCCCCCACCACCACCACCACACCTGCTTACTTACCCTAGAAGAAGAGCCGTGAATTACCTGTTCTGAGCTAAGAGCTTCTTTTTATCCTACCTGCACAGTCAGCCATTATAGAATTATTAAGGTTGTCTTCTGAGACTAGAGATACTCAGGAGATGGCCCTATTCATGTATATAACGGCTCAGTCTGCCTGCTATCATTGAAGGGGATTGTGGTCAGATAGGATCTTAACAGAGCCACAGCTTTCAGCAGTTCATGGCAGTTCTCCTAAGGTAAGTAAGCAGTTGGAGTTATGAGTTATTACCGCAGACTAGGTCAGGAGGGCTAGTGAGGGTGGATTACTGAACTTTCATGGATAATACCCTTGGTCTGTAAAGTGGTTGTAAACTCTGATGACAGCTCGAAAATCTGGATTTTCTTGCACTTTCATTGATAACAGTCTCCAGGACACATAGAGGGGGTGAATCTTCATAATAGGGACCCAGGTTCTGATCCCTCTCCACTCTATACAAAATTGTAAAAAGTTTTGGCTTCTGTTCCACTTTAAACATTGTTTGTTTCAACATTTGCCTCTTAGAATTTTGTCCCTACCGGCTGTAATGCTCTGGACTACAAATCTCAGAGACGTTGAAATTGAAGAATTAAGGGAGTTTACACAAACTGAACTCCAAGAACTGGCAAAACAATACAAACAGAGGTCCTGGGAACCCCTAATAAGTTGGCTCCTCCGTTTGTGGGATGATGGGGCGGACAGTGTTCTTTTGTCAGGCAAGGAAGGAGTGGCTATGGGAGTGTTAACCCACGATCCACAATTGCGCCAGGCCAATGCGCAAGGCCCGAGAGTTTACTGTGAATTTTTCACTGTTAGACCTTGTAAGAGATGGGTTAGCCTGGGTATATGCTAATCCTAGTGACCTGGAAAATGCCTCCTCTTGGAGAACAATGAGAGAGGGTATTGCCAGGTTACGTGAGATGGGCTGTATAACTGGACTAACTAAGAGGGATTTGTAGTCCAGAGCATTATATTTGGGGGCTCGGTCCGGGATTGCAGTGGACTCAACTGAAACAGACTTGTCTTTAGGTTTTGTACTATATCCAAGTTGGGTTGTGTTGGCCAAGATTTGTACTAAACCCAGTTGTAAAAATTGTGTTTTCTGTAGTGTTTTCTGCTTGTGCTAGGGAAAATGCTGCGTAAATTGTTATGGAAAAGCAAGACTGTAGGTGTTTCTGGTGTCCAGGAGGGGGTGTGCAACCTGCCTGCCTGGGCCAGCAAGGCTGCAGATGTTTCTGGTGTCCAGGAGGGGGCGTGCAACCTGCCTGCTTGGGCCAGAGATAGTCAGTGGATGCCTTTTGCTAAGGAATTAGCTAAGTATTCATCTCCTTTTAGTAGGTCATGGAGTGGTAAAATTTCAGGTGATTTAGCAAATTTTAGCTTTGAGAATTTCTGTTTGAGCAAAGCAGAGAAGAAGACAGTGTCCTTAATTGGCTGGTACTTCCTTAATGCTCTCTCTACTGAAACAGAAAGAAGGGAGAAAGCAGAGGCAGAGGTTAAGGCATTAAAAGACCACCTAGCAGTTGTCTCGGAGTGTGTACGTTCAACTGCTAGTCGGGCCGATGATTTGGAAGAGCGGTGTGCAGCCCTCATGACCAAATCAATTAATGCCTTAAGGAAAAAGAAAGGCCGTAGACCTGTTAGCAAAGCCAGGGTGCGTGCAATTGTCAAATCCCATAACTGGGATCGTGAGGATGCGCTCTCCTCAGGTGATAGTGAGGATGAGGAGATTGCATTTGATATTACTGATGGTGTTGATCACTCAGTGGGAAAGAAAAGTCACAAAGCGTATCTGGTAAGGGCGGTGAAGGCTGTGGTCAGAGGTCATGCAAAATGGACCCCTGTCTACATTCCTCCACCAGAGAAGCCAATCTGTCTTAAGCAGTACAGGCTGCCAGGAGGCCACAAAGAAATTGGGGAGACTATTCAAGAACTGTTGAGAGTAGGGATCCTTAGACCTGCTGTAAGTCCTTTCTCAGCTCCGGTGTTTCCAGTAGAGAAACCGGATGGGACTTATCGAATGACTGTGGATTATAGAGGTCTAAACAGAGTGGCACCTCCATTGAAATCAGCTGTACCTGATATAATCTCCATCACAGAGAAAACAGCCAAAGCTCCAAGCTTTACAGCTGGGCTCATCCTTGGGATAAGCTTGACATCTCTGGGATTTGTAGTCCAGAGCATTACACCGGCCTTCTCGTAGTTCAAGTCTCTCTGTGGTGTTAGCTATACCCTTCCAACAGAATGCTTCTAGACTCTATTCCATCTACATGTGTATTGCTGTGGATCATATGATGATCTTTTACCCATTTAATTCCTCACTGTCAAGATCTTTACAGTTCAAAATAAGCTTCTTAACGATCTCCAGGGTGTAGTTCTGAAATCCTCAACTGTCTGCCAACATTACTGAGGTTGTGAGTTATTGCCAACTCATTACAACTGCATAAGTTGTTAGAGATCACATTTTCAATGCTTAGAGAAGCAGAACACGGCCTAAACATTTTATACTTGCAAATAGCTGTACGGTAGTCTTATTCCCTCCCCAAGGGAGGTTCCCCTCCCTACTACCTGTTCACTATTTTAACACAATTGCAGAAGATCTAGAGAAATCAAAAAGATAAGCAGACTAAGATGCATTTCTCAGATGATTGCACCGTCCCTCTGTCACTTATTTTCTCTGGACTCCTTTGTTTAATCAGCCTAAAACTGTTCTGGAAAAGAGGAAAGCTTCCACCAGGTCCTATCCCTCTGCCAGTGTTTGGGAACGTTATGCAGTTAAGCAGAGGAAATATAGTGACTTCACTGTTCAAGGTAAGTGAATATTTGTATTTCACCCCATTGGTACAGTTGTTGAGAATAACATTATAAAGCCAGGAGCCTTAGGGGAGTATTTATAGACAATTTGCTGAGCCATTCATGCTGTGAATGCTCGTTCTGTGCAAATGGAGGGAAAAAAAGGTTTTTAGTATATTTTTTATGTTATTAGGAAAACACTGTATTATGGAGAATGGTTAGAACCCCATGCCAAGTTTTTGTTGTGATCTGTGCTCCAGCTGGGTAGATTCACCCTCCCCCCCACCTCCATTACCATTGTCATCAAGACAGAAATTGGGGGAAATCCTACATTTGAAAGCTGTAACGAGAGCAAGAGGTGAGGGGAAATCTTCCAATGGGGACAAATGTACAAATGTTTTGGTGATGACTTTATGAGAGGGGAAAACCCCTAACTTTCCGGAGATTTCCTTTCATTTTTGGTTGCACCCACAAGACAAGAAGTGAAGTGAAATGTCTCTAGCAGGACACAGGAAAAATGCAGAGTTAAACCATTCCCACTTTACTCAAACTTAAAAAAATGGTTATACATATTCTTTAAATTTAAACTCCACACAAAATGCTAGTTTGGATAAAGCAGGAAAAGGTTAGAATGCCAGGTATTTATTATTTGCAGGGGGGCCGGATTAAACTAGTCCATACTCAAACAAAAAACCTTGGGCTCCCATTCCTGGGAGAGCTGCTTAAGGGTAACCATTCTCTCTACTTTGCTTAAGCCCTACTGGTTAATCCAGTCCTTATTTAAACAATGAACCTTGGGCGGCTCCCATTCCTGGGAGTGCTTCCTAAGGGTAACTGTTCTCTACTTTGTGTAAGACCTGACTGGCTTTAAGAGATCCAGCACCCCACCCCTTTCTTCTACTCCCTAGATTTTTTTTTTGCGTGGCTTATTAAAAATGAGTGTGATTAAATAAACTTTGCTTCATTTTAATGATAATAAGGTTGGTAATGCAGATAAATATGAAGGCATAATTTCTTGTATCTAGCCCCTTCTTCCAGATCTGGTGATACCATCTCTATTCTGAAAACTCTAAGACCATGGGGTTTGGCATCATGTTGTTCCAAAAAATTTCAACTTTATTTAGGATTTTTTTAAAGCTCCCTGAATCTGGTTCTTAGGGTCCTTATTGTCCTACCCACACCAAATTTTCTCCAAGGGCAGATTAATCCATATACTGCATATTTGGAACTGCAGTTTATGAATTGCTGTATTAAGAATTATCTTCCCTCAGGGCCTATGAATTCCTTTTTTCTATGTAACATGTAAATGCATGCACCACAGTTTGGGCATCTATAATTGCCAATTTAGCCGAAAAGCCCTATAGAGCTGTCTCTATATTTCGTGGTCCTTAGTTTACCAGTATACTTTTAGTATCCCGAGGTTTTCGAAATACAGTCTTTGGCTGTACTGAAAGGGAATTTAAGTATTGGGTCTTCTTTAAGTACTCTCCAGTGTTTTTTGAGGGTGTTTGTAATGTGAAAAGCACTGCTATTATATTGCGTACACAAATATGCTTATTGGGCTGGTGTTTCTTTCGTCCTATTCTTAATGTGTATGAGATTTGCATGTTTATTGAATGCATCTTGTATGGTCACCTGACTATACTGTATATATATTTTTCTAGAAATTGTTTAGCAAGAATTGACCTTTGTGTCTGACAATCTGCATTTTTGGTGCACGTCCTTCCCAATCTACAGAATTGGCCATCTGGAATGTTTTGAATCACCGGGTACAGCAGGTCTTCTGAGCAGGGCAGGTAGAGCATGACCGGTCATGAATTCCTTTTTATTTCAAATTATAACACACAACAATTCCCTTATAATGAGAAACCACAAGTAACTTAATTATATTGGGAAATAACAACAAGCAATTGCATATCCTCTCCTTCTTTTTAGCATGTAATATAGTTGCCCCGCTCATGGATAAGATCTCAATTCTCTTTAAGGTCTCACCGAGCATTAGTTTAAAGTCAGGTATGTCACAGTAGATTTTGATATAGGTTTTCCTCATATAGCATGACATTATGTTCTTACAAATATATTTCTTATAATGTTTTAATCATTTTTTAATCATTTATTAACTATTGTACATGAATAATCTTAAACGTATATATATATTGTCCAACACGTACTGTGATGTTTTCAATCAATATCTGAAGTTTAATTTAAAAAACCTGCCCCTTTAAGGATTCCATTTATTATTGGCTGACATTGCTATATCCATAACTCCTTCAGCAAAAGTAATTACAGCCATCTGGTTATATAGAAGGTTTTTTTATATAACATTTTTTATATATTATTTAATAAGATATAAAACTTTTGAACCAAAGGGATCCATTGAGTTTACTGTATGTGTGTACATGTGTGTGTATATGCATGTATTTATATTCATATATGTATGTGTATATGTATGTGTATTAGGGATGCACTGAAACCCTACTAGTATAGGTACTACTAGGATGCACTGAAACTACTAGTATAGGTATCGGTGCCGATGCCGAGTATTTGGGCAAGTACTCGTATTCGACCAAATGCTCTAATGCCTAGCCGATACCTGAGCTTCCGGTATTAGGAAGCCGGGCAGCGAGTCATTACACGCTGCCCAACTTCCTGATTGGCCGGGAAGCCGACTCCATTCTCACTCGTCACTTGTGATTGGTCGAGAAGCTGGCGAGAGAGCATTGAGCCGGATTCCTGGCCAATCAGGAAGCTGGGCGTCGAGTCATTACACGGCGCCTGCCTTCCTGATTGGCCAGAAAGCCGGCTCCATGCTTTATCGTCACCTAGTGACAAGAAGCATGGAGATGACTTCCCTGCTGATTGGGAAGCAAGTCTTTACACGCCGCCTGGCTTCCCGGCTAATCAGGAAGCCGGTGGTGAGTTACATTTTGCATTACATGCCGCCTGGCTTCCTTAATGGGACTTTCGGTATCAGTGAGTACCGAAAAAAAATATCGGTACTCGATACCGAAAAAAACAGCGTCGGTGCATCCCTAATGTGTATACATATACACATATGTATTTGTGTGTATGTTATGTTGCTCCAGATCCCTTGGATTCTGATCTGTATCCACTTGCGCCCCTGCCGGTTAGCCCGGTCCCGTGCATGGAGAATTACACATCTCCAAGGTGACAGGACGCACGGCTTGTAGTCCCAAACAATCGCCCACCACCGCATTCATGTGGAGAGTCATACATCTCCTTGACAACAGGATACCTAATCTAAAGTCCCCGACTATTTCTGCACTTGTGCAGATCGGAGATGCCGGCACACGTTCAGGAGATCAGAGAGCACTACAGTGGGGTTCCCGACGGCACCACCAAAAGTGGTTTTACATGAAGAGAGGGCGCTGTTCTTGTTTTCTTTTTTTTGCATGTACTTTTCTTATGCTACCTGGAATACATTTAGAACATTTTAATTTGGAGTTCAGTTGATCTTTAATGTTGATCTTTCCTTTTATTTGAATGTTTGCAAACTAGAAATGTGTCATCTTTGTACCTAACATGCATTGCGTAACATATTCTCTTGTCCTTTTCTATTGCTTTAATAAAATTGTAATCTTTCACACAAAAAATATATTTGTAATTATCATTATCCTTGTCTAAAAGCTTTGTAAATTATGTTTTAATAGGCATTAATTAAAAACATATTACATTCTGTTTAGTGTGAAATGCTAACAACGCATTGGCCTCTATTCTAATGTATTCCGTTTTAATCCAGCTGCGGAAAAAATATGGGGATGTGTTTACCGTCTATCTGGGGTCTCGGCCAGTTGTGGTGGTAAATAGATACAAAGCAGTCAAAGAAGTCTATGTGGACAGAGCTGATGATTTCTTAGCCAGAGGAGATATCGCGGTGTTTGACACCAACTTCAAGAACTATGGTGAGTGATCTGCAAGAGAGAAAGACAAAGGTTCACTCATGGGGACAGCATAAATGAACTGATGTTTTAATCATGCTACAGTTATGGTATACAAAGGTCCATTAGGAGACAAAAAGACCAGCTGAAGCTGTCCTTCAATTCTATACAATTGTATCTTACAACTAGGTGTCCAAATATTACAAATCTTTATTACAATATTATTATTATATATTATTTACATATAAAGACTATATCAACTGATGAGATGAAACACGAATGTTTGTTCCATGCAAATGGAGTCAAAAACAAACATTTTCTATACAATTCAAATGTACTGCATGTAAAATACCACATTAGGGCCACGAAATGGTGCAAAGGACAGTATTTATTTTGTATGCTCTTCAACTCTATCTAGTAGTCATATTGCAGTATTACATGACGACATTCAAAATTACATTGGACATATAAAGAAAACTAAGAATGTTTGTTTTGTGCATCCATTTACATGAAACAAACATTCACGAAAATCTGCAGGGCAAATGGCTCTGCAGGTTGCTTATAAATAGACCCCATAGACAAAGAAAAGAGATGCCTAGAGTATGATAGATACCTACTATCCAAACTTTATATTCTACAATGAGGTAAAACCGTGATAGAAGACTAAAAGGAAAAAATTGAGTATGCAACAGAATGAGAAAAACGAAAAACATAAAAACTCAAAAGAAAGGGATTAAAAAAACAAAACAGAAAACATCAAAAGACGTAAATATAAAGCAAAGGAACAGTGGCAGAAGGTAATTGTCAAACCAGTGCAATGTTGAAAGACACTCAGGGGAAGGCAGGTAAGCACAGGGGTGTATATAGGTTATGGCAAGCAGATCACGTGCCCTGGATGCAGCTTGGGAGAGGGACTCACTCAGGGGAAGTTGTTTGGCCCATTTAGCAAAGCTGTGCCCCATTCAGACTTCCCATCAGCTTGGACCCCGCAGTGGAAAATATAAAAAAAAACTGGCGACCAGCAGGCTTTCTTTGGCAGAAGAGTCTCTCTGCCATAGAAGAAGTCTCTTCTGTAATAAAAGTTTCTTTCTACCATTAGGCCATCTTTTTCTATGTACGCTAAGCCGAGAATGTGCACCATACATTAAAAAAAATGTACACTGGAATACCAGCACATTATGGCTAAAAGCTCCAGTGGGCTAATTTTTTAATACAGCTTTTGTTCTGCTTTAACTAAAAAGTTAAACACCACACCTCATCTCCTCATTCATGGGATTGAGGGCCAATCAGCGTTGGGGTCACTGCAATCAATGCTAATGGGGGTCTGCATGAGGAACAATATAACTAAAAAGGTACACACCTCTCTTCATCCTTGGGGCCCCTGATCAGGAAACTGATCGGCTAAGCTGTCAATCATGGATTGTGATGATGGAGGTCTGAATTGGGCCAAGATTATTCTAATAAGGTACAAAAATATATCTGCTAGTACACTCCATATGTCATGCTGTATGTTCCTTCTTCCATTCCGGCTCATTTCAAAAGCCATGCTGTATGCACCTTATGCTATACCTCCTCATTCCATATGTGCAAACAGTCCAGTGCTCCAATTCCCAGGCCACTTTAAGCAATAATCATACCATGGGTGCTGGGAAACCAGGCACACCTGCACCTCCAACGTATGAATTCTTCTACAAACAAGACGCATTCCACAGATCTTCACAAGTTAGAGCAACTTTTTATTAATATGACGAACACTCCCATGTTTGTAACATGTCTCACGCGTTTCACCAATCTGGCTTAGATCGTTGAAACGTGTTATACACATGGGAGTTTTGTTTCACAGTATGTATTTGGTATATTAATAATAAAATTGGTTTAACTTATGCAGATCCATGGAAGTGCGGCTTGTTTGTAAGAAGAATTCCTAATTCCATATGTCATACTATATATTCTCTATTCTAATCCACACCACCTCATTTTATACACCTTGTTGTGCATGTTTTATTTCACACTGCCTCATTCTGTGCACTGTACTGTACTTTCCTTATTCTGCACCAACCATACAGATCCAGCGGCTCTAGTGTGTATGCGTGTGTGTGTGTCTGAGTGGGCTAGCTAGCAACTCTTCTGTGTGTGTGCCTAGATTTGCCAAAACTGCTATATGCGCTATTTACCATAGATACATCCCTGGTGTTAAGCAGGCCATGTGGGGAAGATCTGACAACTCCAAGAGGCTCTACATTGTAGCATCTGCCCCTAAGGAGGCAGCTTTTCCGTGAAATTTGTAGTGCATCTTGGGTCACTCGCCCAAGGACCGAATTTAAAAATCTCTATTGAAAGCTAAGATATAAAGCAAATCATCAAGATGTATTTATTAGTATATGAATTACATAGGATGGTAGCACTGTTTTAAATAAGAACAGGCACTTCTAATGGCATTGCCATAATAAAGTCATACAATTAGTATTTGTGTATGCTCTGCAGTCACTGTACACACAAAAACTTACTAGAAAATAGGGAAATTAATATTTTAGTAGATAGGACTTACAAAGCCTCTTCTACCAAAAAACTGTATCCCTAGCCTTTTTTTAAACTAAAGCAGGGGCGTCCCGAAGCCGGTTATAACCCAAAGTGGAGACCGTGTGACACCCCGCCGTGACGTAATCGCACATGCGCTGTTATCTTATTGACGCCTGCCATCTTGGTGATGGACGTCGGCAGAGAGAGGAAGGGACGTTCCCGGCGGGATGAGGTATGCCGCCGGGTCCGCTCCTCTCTCCTGACACTGTCAGGCTCTAGGTCCATGACCGAGTGCCCGACTTTTTAGAGGGGGTGACACCAAAATGACAGTCATTTTGGTGTCACCCCTCCAATGGTGTCACCTGGCTGCGGGCCACACCCTTCTTGTGATGCCACTGAACTATAGTTCCACTTTAAACCTCTAACCACAATTAATAATATGAATGGTTTCACAATTTGTCTAACATTAAAGCGTATCTAAACCCTAAAACAAAAATGTAATACAGTGCAGCTTACTGGTCCTTAGATGTGGTGCATTAGCTTTCCAACACTCGCTCTCCCTACTGTATCCTATGTGGGTCTGTACACAAAGATAGCTAAGAACAATCTAACTGATAATACTCAACACAGGCAGAGAGCATGGGAAGTTTTCCACTCAAAAGATTTCCGGCAAAATCAACAGGTATTTTTTTTTTGTTGTAAATGATCAAACAAATATAACAAAACACTTTTAATGGTATACTTAACAGACCAAAAGGGAACAAATAAGAGGATTTAATTGTTAAGGTTAATGTACACTGATGCTATAGCGGTAAAACTTTTTGTTTTTGTTTGTTTATGTGTCACACATCAGGATTAGCCTTCACTAGTGATATGAACAGGTGGAAGGAGCTTCGTCAGTTTTCCCTGTCGGCCATGCGGAGTTTAGGCATGGGAAAGAAGAAAATAGAAGAACACATTCAAGAGGATGCTTGCTACCTAGTGGCTGAACTGAAAAAAACAAAAGGTTGGTGCAGAAAACAACAATAGGCAAATTAGGGCTACGTTGTACTAGACTGTAAAGAAAGAAAAATGTAGTCTTGCCACCTTCAAGCACTATTTATCCCCACTTAAGGCTTAAAGTATAGACAGAACTGGCTTTTGTTTTTTTTTTCTGTTTTGGTTACAGTAGGAGAATAATAGCTCTGTCCTTTTTTTTTTTTTATTACACTATTTGTGTCCTATCATGGATATTTGCCTTCACGTCCTGTGCCAGAGACACAGGAAGTAAGAAGAGATCTCTCCAATGTGAGGGGAAATCCCTTTTTACACAGTTGTCAGCAGAACAGTTGTCTCCATAGGAACATTTACTCTCGCCTTTTTTGCTCTGACAATATGTTGGATTCTCCATCCCTTCTTGTACCAGAGACAATGGTGCCCAGGACAAACAGAGAGGACAATTATCTCCAGTTAGGATACGGACAGCAATAAAAACTTGATAGGGGTTCTAGTTCCTTATTCTATCTAACACAATGTTTTGGATTTCCATACACATCAAAGATTGTATATATGAAGGGATTATTGTGACATTTAATGTACAATGACTACTGATGCACCCAAAAAATCATTCTACTGTGCATTGAACATACACAGCATATTCCCAGGCTCAAAGCCACTCAAGTCACTTTTGGGAGAGGGAGCAGGGTGACCTAAAGATGGTCATACACCAGTAGAATTTCATTCTAAAATTATTATTTTTTTCGGATTTTTCTTTCAATTTTCTAATCATTGGGTTCCAATTAATAGTCTTAATTTTCAACTGTAGCATTCAAGAGAACAAAAGGAGTAGGATGGAAAATTTTTCTCGAATAAAAACATTTCTAACAGTGAATATGGTTTTCATTCAGGAAACACCATTCATTCCGACATTCTACTAGATTGTAAGCTCTCACGAGCAGGGCCCGCCTAACCTTATTGTACCGAAATGTTATTGTATTCTAAATTGTATTGTAACTGTCCCATCTCCCCCATTTTGTAAAGCGCTACACAAACTGTTGGCGCTTTATAAATCCTATAGTATAGTATTCCAAATGAAATCTTAAAACCAAATGAAATTTTGAATGGAATTCTATAAGTTTTTGTTGACATTATAGAATGTTCCGACTACATTTTTCATATTTAGGCTTTGTATGAAAATTTACCAGTGCATAGCCAGCCAAAGGTTGCTGAGTAACAGACAAAGCTGTAAATTAAAGGTAAATATTTTTACATAGTCTTATCCCTCATGTGTGACTTGTATCTTTCTCGCCCTATTTACATATTCTAGAATCATTTTTTGATCCTCGACAATTCCTCAACAAAGTGTCGGGCAATGTGATTTTCTCCATCATGTTTGGGAACCGCCATGATTATGATGATGTAAAGCTTCTTAGCATTTTAAATACTATGAATGAAACCTTCTTTATTGCCAGCTCAGGCTGGGGGCAGGTAAGAAACAAAGGACACTACATTAAATTCCATTCATACAAGTTGATATTTATCCATGGAGCTATAAAGATGTAGATAAAAACAAACCCTAAATATAATTTTTTTGCTGAAGCTGCAGACAAAGTTTAGGTTCTTAACTCAATCTAACTATATTAGAATAACTGTGCATGAGTCTTCTTCATAAAGCCTATCACATATTTGAGATTATATGGCCATGTGTCTTCTTTATAAAGCCTATCATGTATACTAGATTATCCATACATGGGTCTTCTTCATACAGCCTATCACATATACTAGATTATCTGTCCATGAGTCTTCTTAATAAAGCCCATCATGTATACTAGATTATCTGTACATGGGTCTTCTACATAAAGCCTATCACGTATAGTTGATTATCTGTACATGGGTCTACTACATAAAGTCTATCACGTATACTAGATTATCTGCCCATGGGTCTTTTTTATAAAGCCTATCACTTATACTGGATTATCTGCCAGGGGAGATGAGGACGCCTCCCCATTAACCTGAATAGAAAAAGTCTATATTGCACATAGCAGCTCTGAGATTTCAGGAAGGACAAATTTTTGTTGAGGAAGGCTGGGTGCTGTGGATTTCTCATTATAAATATATTATAAAGGCACAGATCACAGATACAGTCAATCTTTTTTGTAATAGAAAGTATCGCTCAAAAAAGAAATCCCACCCCCCCCAACAATGTAGTTCCCTCAGTCTGTTCTCTATTAAAGCACCAAATGTGAGAGGTCCCATCAGTGCAGAAAAAATGTGGGAATTTTCCAAATTCTGCCTCAGAATAGCAAGTTTGGAAAATGATGTCGCCTCTATGCTGCAGGCAGAATGGAGCATAACCTGTCATTCAGACTGACATTGTAACTTCCTGGCTAGGGATGACTGAATCAAGCTAATCACCGATTCAACAATTTTCGATTTGTTAAATATCTGTATGTAGATCTGGTCTGAGTTGTACAGTTTAGGAATCAAAGCAATTGTGCTTTACAAACTGTATAATAATTTGCAGATTGGACAAATCTGCATAAACATATCTAGTTAAATAAAATATCTTATATGGCGTTTATGGCTTTGCCAGTTTGCATGGTTTCCAAAACACCAATATTCCTTATCAGTATTTATTGCAGGACACAGAATGCACCTTGACCCCGTGCCGATGGGGACAAGGGCCTCTTCTCCACAAGCCCTGGGGCCTTGGTTGTGGCTGTCTGCGGGCAGGGAGGCTTATTTGCATCAGGGTAACCCCTCTGATAATGGGGGCACCCAGATGCTGCCCCCCCTTGTGAGTGAGTAAGGGGTGCATTCACTAAAGGGTTAAATAAAAATTAAACAAAAACACACTTTTGAAAAAATCCTTTGATGGAAAAACAAAACGAAACTAAGGTCGGCCAAATCAAAACAACTGGGCAGAACCAGCCGTGACGTCACCGGTGGCTCCACCCAGTTGTTATCATTTAATGACAGCCCAGTGTCCTCAACTGACCTGAGGACGTTGGGCTGTCATTGAATGACAACAACTGGATGGAGCCAGCCGTGACATCACAGCTGGCTCCTTCCAGTTGTTTATGTTTGCGGGGAGAACGGTCTGCTTTAAGAAATTACATCATTATTAACTAAAACATTTCTTACAGGTGTTTGAAATGTTTCCAAGAATCATGTGCCTGATCCCCGGAAAGCACCAAAAGATTTTTTCAAACATGGAGAAGCTCCTGCACTATGTGAAGACAAGAGTGGAGATGAGCCAAAAGACTCTGGACACAGATAATCCTAGAGATTATGTAGACACTTTCAATGGCAATCCTGTGCTTTAACCACTACACCAGGGGTCGGCAACCCCCGGCACGCGTGCCCAGCCTGGCACGTGAGACCTTGACAGTTGGCACGCGAGTCGACCTTTTTGCTTGTAGTTGACAGCTCCCTCGAGCCGGCTGTCAATTACATGTACTGGCCCACCCACCTCAGTGACGTGGCTGAGCGGCATAGGAACGCAGAGACGCGCTGACGAGGCCCTCAGCTCGTTCGGGCATGCTCCTGCCTGAAGGATCCCTCTTGTGCCAGCCCGCCAGACAGGAGCGGGCTCACCCACGCCTGATGTGATGGGACGGGATTACTGTACCCTGCCCGACAGGAGGAACCTACTGCACACCCTGCCCCAGCACAGAAAAAGGAGCCAGACGATCATCTGGAATATACAGCAGGTACCACATGTATACTGCTCACATTCATAAACATTAACCCTCGTTCCAGCACACATGCATGCCCTCACAAATGCACAGCAGTATATTGATCCACAAATAGCTTTGATTTTATTCCTGCCCTTACATGTAGAACAGGAATAAAATCAGTGCTTTTTGTGGCTAATATTACTGTGTGCACTTGTATGGGTCTGCGTGTGTGCCTAATATGCTTTGGTCCATGTAGGTAAGGAAGGCTGCTTCTAAAATAAAAAAAATTCAAACATGAGAAATTGAAAACTTATCAGTCATACAGTTTCTGTGGCTGATATGCAGGCTAAAGTGTGGTGAAATGGTCATGGTGTTTACTGCTGGTCTGAGGTCTGCCATGTGTTTGCTGCTGGTCTGCGATCTAACATGCGTTGGTGCTGGTCTGTGGCCTGTCATGTGTCGGTGCTGGCCTGAGGTCTGCAGGGCATTGTTGCTGGCCTGAGGTCTGCAGGGCATTGTTGCTGGCCTGAGGTCTGCAGGGCATTGTTGCTGGCCTAAGGTGGTCTGCAGGGCATTGTTGCTGGCCTAAGGTGGTCTGCAGGGCATTGTTGCTGGCCTAAGGTGGTCTGCAGGGCATTGTTGCTGGCCTAAGGTGGTTTGCAGGGCATTGTTGCTGGCCTAAGGTTGTCTGCAGGGCTTTGTTGCTGGCCTAAGGTGGTCTGCAGGGCATTGTTGCTGGCCTAAGGTGGTCTGCAGGGCATTGTTGCTGGCCTGAGGCCTGCAGGACATTGTTGCTGGCCTGAGGTCTTCTGGGCATTGTTGCTGGCCTAAGGTGGTCTGCAGGGCATTGTTGCTGGCCTAAGGTGGTCTGCAGGGCATTGTTGCTGGCCTAAGGTGGTCTGCAGGGCATTGTTGCTGGCCT